ATAAATCATATACTTATAACTCTTTTCCTTTCCTTTTGGTACTGAACGTGGTATTCTTTTCTGTATGCTTTTGTCTTTGGATTCAATGACTTCATCTTTTGCTTGAAGTTTCTTTTCCATCTCTCCACGTTCTGCTTTATATAGTTCATCTAACATCATGAAAATATAACAAGCATAACGAGGTGAAGCCCACATTGCTACAGCATTTACTAAAAGTCTATGAACATAATAACCTTTCAAACCAGGTGCCAAATTCTTGCGATTTTCGTACGGAATCTCTTCCCTCGGTTTTCCGAGGGAAGCAATCATATGAGGAAATTCTTCTAAAAGTTCTTTTGCCTGTTGGTTTTCAAACCAATGATATGCTTGCTTTGTAGAACGAAGAGCGTTCATTATACTTTGCATTTGATACATATCATCTTTGACTGAACGAATGAGACGTAACTGTTTGTTATATTGTATGTATTCGTATTCTTCATTTATGGCTTCATGAACGATAGCAGTTGTTGTGTTCTCTAATGTTGACATTACTGTTCTTACATACAGGATAAAAAAATAAATAAAATAAAAACTAACTTTATTTTTTTCTGAGATAAACACTATTTCTTCACAACATTAAATTTTATCCTGTATGAAATGACTTTAAAAAGATTATTGACTGACTTCGAATACTATCTCATTGACGCACTGACAGACCCTCAAAACTGTGTTGAAAGTTCTTTAAGCTTTAAGATTGAAGGTACGACGCATTTTGTCTTCACTTACGTATTGAAAGAATATGACCGTTATCATAACGAAGTGAATCAAACACTAATAAAATTTGTAGATAAAAAATTGGTTAACAATGAATATTTTAAACGTGAAGACCCAAACACTGCTGGAGATGATGAAGAATACAGACAAGTTATTGAAAAAAATAACGCAAGATTAGATGCAATAGAAAAGAAGTTTAATGAATGTCTTACAAACACGTATGAATATCTTATGCAGTGGGAAGCCAGATGGAAATAAATTTACGTCAAATATGCAATTTATAAAATCTTATGTCGACAGGCTACGTAGCACAGTGGTCTAAGGTGGTGTTATGGAGGGGTCAAGGTCTGTGGTTCGAACCGCGACAGCGCCGTATTTTCTTATTTTCTTTATTTGTCTTGTTTGTCGTGAATAAAAAGTGTCATAAAAGTGCTCTATCTTCCACGGGAATAAATAAAAAATTTACTTTATTTCTTCTTTATTTCTTTGTTCCCGTGGAAGAAGGGTTTTGCTGTTTTTTCTCAGCCGAAATCAATGATTTTTTCATTTTTGGAATCCTTAGCGAATGAGGAATCTTTTCTCTCGTGGAAGCTTTGACCTAAAATATAATTTAGGTGAAGAGGTGAGATGTCACCTGTTTTCTCACCTCTTTTTTCACCCTCGTGACTTTGTCATAACTTCTTCGTAAATGCTTTGTCATAACTTCTTCGTAAATGCTTTGTCATAACTTCTTCGTAAATGAGTGTAAATGACCAAAAATATATTATAGGTGAAGAGGTGAGATGTCACCTCTTTTTTCACCTAATTTCTCACCTCAGCCGCTAAGCGGCGAGACCCAAAGGGTCTTGAATTTTCATGAATTTCCTTAAGATAGAAAAATAACGTTAGTTTTATTTTTATTTATTTTTTTATTTTGTATGTAAAGATATGATTTCAACAATCGGCACAACAACAATTCAAGCCGCGAACGGCGGGACTCTGTCCACAACAACTTCACCAAACTCGTTAGTCATGAATCCAACATCTATGTTAGTAGAGATGAAAAGCTTCATTCCTTCTTCATATACTTTCGAAACAAAAATCCAGAAGATAAAGCAAGAACTTTTAACAAGTAATTTAGACTGTAGTGCGAAAGATGAAACAAATGAACAGTATCTTTATGAAATGCAGGACATTATTGACCATTTACCTAAACTACCTGAAATTCAGCATCAAAAACTAACTATTCCTGAATTCGATGAAATAGAAGTGAAACCAACTGACTCAGTAGAAATAAAGAAGTTCATTCGAAAGGTAAACTATGAGTTTCTAGGATTTCATTGCAACCATAAGGTTATGGACAAAGATTGCGACATGGTATATAAGAATGTTTCTGACATATATAAATCCGGGGAGTTTAAGACCTACGATAACTTTGTTTCGTTAGTTGCTGAATGTGTATGGCAGATAAGAGATAAAGATAGAAGAGGTAAAATATGGAACGAACAGATAAGACCAACTGCTTTTGAGTTAAAGAAAACCATTGACGCCTTAGTTGTTTTAGCAGGTAAGGTTTCAGAATATAACGCAAAAATGAATCCGCAATGTTCTAAATGTAAAGCAGCAATTAGGAAATATAACTACTCCGTCAAAGAGATAGAAAGAATGCGAAACGACTATGCAGACTTAAAGAAAGAAGCAGAAAAGCCAGCAGAAAATAAAATGGACATGTTAGCATTTCTGAACAAAAACTATCCAACTGCTGACGATTTCCTTCTATCTGACGTCAAGAAGAAATATAAAGAAACTTTCGGCATTGTTAAAACTTTTGACATACTGACAGAAGAAATAGAAGCTACGAAATTGTTTAGGATTTCAAATATACATCGTACAATTCATGTAAAACGCTTGTGAAAAACTGGGGTGAGAAAACAGGTGAGAAAACGGGTGACATCTCACCTCTTCACCTAAATATATTTTTTACTGAATTCAATAAAAATAAATGGTTCATTTACTCACAATATTTTTGTACAAAACGACCCCAAACTTTTAACTTCTTTTCTGCAGCTTCAAATGCTATCTTAGCGAGTTCATATTCTCTAAATTCTCTCTTTAAATCTTCTTGTTCCCATTGGTCTAGTTCGTATGGAGAATCTCTATAACCATAATATATCTCACGTTCATGTTCTAATTGTTTTTCACACATTTTTCCAACTTCTTCTTCGAACAAAGGTTTAGCATTCTCCACTGTATCTTCGAGTTCTTCTTCATCTAACTTCTCATGAACTTTCTTGTCTATGGAGTCCATAATATCTTTGACATAAAATGCATACTTTACAGAGCACCATTCAGCAACAAAATGAACGAGGTCAGCATGTATGTAAATACCTTTGAATTCATTCATAACGCCCTTAGTAAGCTCATAAAATGCTTGTTTTGAGGTTGAGCCACTTTTGGCTCGACCGTATTCTTTCAACCAAAACTCAAGAATTTCCTGCATTTTAGCACTATTGAGAAATCTGTTTAAATGGTTTAACTTTCCTGCTTCTCTCGCCATCTTTGTTGCATTAATGTAACCATCCTTGTCTCTACGTAAGACTTCAATACCATTATAAGTGCCTTTTGTGAATGTTTCACCATTAGATTTGTTCGTGAATGTTTTTGCTTCGATTGACATTTCTGTTCTTACATACAAAATAAAAAAATAAATAAAAATAAAACTAACTTTATTTTTGGTCTTTTGTGAAAATTCACGAAAATTCAAGAGGTGAAAAAAGAGGTGAGAAAACAGGTGAAATCTCACCTCTTCACCTAAATTATATTTTTGTCTGATTTACATCCAACGAAAAAGTTTAGAAGAATTTTCTTATTCTTTCTGGCATGTTTTTATCTTTCCAGTACTCCCGCTCTAATGGTCCCAGATGAGTTGGTTTAGATTCTCTCAAGTTCTTAGATGGTATAACATCTTCAACGCCTCCTTCATATCTTACTTTATAAGTGTCATCGTTTGTGTTATAGTCAAGTATTTCAATAACCACTCCTCGCTTTGCTTCGTCAATGGTTTCAGCAAGTTTGCCATTACTACTTTCGACTAATTTATGTCGAGGGTAAAATGCTATGGAGTCGTCAGCAGCTTTTATAAGATATCCATTACCTTGCGTAGAGTCTACGATATAATAATTTCGACTTAACCTTAAACGTTTCTTTGTCAATGGTTTGTCGTCAAGAACTACACGAACTTTTGTACCAGGAATGAGAGTAAATTGTGTTGAATTTCTGATATTTTGTGTTTGGCTTCGTTTCTTTTGTATATACTTTTCTTCTTGTTGTTGTGTCATTGAATTTGGTGTATGTCCTGTTGTAGAATGTGTTGAGGAATTATATACTTCGAGAAAATGTTTCATTGTTTCTTCGGTAAAGTCTCGCTCTTGATTTAAATCTCTGAGAGTCCTTATGAAGCGGTTAATGATACCGAGTATGTTATGGTTATGGTCTTCAGTAGTGTAGTGAGTTATGTTATGCTTAATGAGAAATTCTGTGATTTCGTTGCTGAGGTATGCACCGTCTTGGTCTGATGTTAAAATACTTGGGCTATGTTCTGCTACAAACTTTTGTAAAACTCTTAACACTTCATGAGTTCCTTTATTTCTCATTATATACGCATATGCTTTACGAGTGTTAACATTTATGAAGATGAGGAATGGTTTATGTCCTCCTTTTCTGCTTTGAATGAGAGTGTCAAATTGGTATGCGTCAGGAGTGTTGGAGTAAATTGGTAAAAAGTAGTCGTAAGGATTTATTTTTGTTTGATGTACAACATTTTTGTCAAAGAACCTTTTCACTTCAGCTCTGTTAGTAAATCCCGAACTCTTTGCAGCTTCATTGAACTTCTTAAATGACCTCCATGGATGTTGTTCGAATACTTCTTTCAAGCTCATTTATGTAAAGTTAAAGATTTTAACCAACTCGTATCCAAGCGTGCATTGTTATATAAGGAGGCATATAATCTTTTCCATTACCTGCTGGGTCTGTAATACCAGCTACAACATGTGTATGATTTCCTGCAGTTCCACAGAAAATACCTGTGCTAACATCTTTGGGGTCAGTTGTGATATCATATCTATGCATTCCCTGTCTATCCGAACCCGCTGCAAGATTTGTATAACCTCTTTTTGTTATTGAATGTGAATGGTTTCCTTCCACAGATGTTCTTCCACTGAACCTATGCATATGTGAAGGAAGGTTTTCAATACCTATTTTCTTTGAACCTCCCATCTTCATTGACTGCGTATTAGTGTAGAATGGAAAACTGTCAACTATTTCATACCATCTACCACCAAATAAAGTGTTTGGATTTATTGGATTCATAGACGTATAAACAGCTCCTATAGGATATATTAAATCATATATGCTCATAACTCTATAAACATATTCTAAAGAACTTATGTCATTAAATACCATTTGGAATGTATCTCCCGGATGAAATGTTGCATTTGTTCCACTTTTATAATGTAATGTTAGTTCAATAGAATTATCCAAGAAAAATTCAAAAGTATCTGGTTGAAGACCTCTAACAAATTCAAATGGAGTTGCTGGTTCACCATTTATAATTTCTGTTGTAAATGTCATTGTATCTGGTTTCGAAAATTTCTTTGTTAGTTCTGCATCCACATAAGTTTTATCTGCTTTCTTGTCTAACATTGCTGGTAGTTCATATGCTTCAAAGTTTCTGGCATGATCTTCGGTATTCCTGCAACTCTTATCTAAATTGTTAAGAGTATCTTTTACGCTTGTACTCGGATTCTCTAAAGGTGCACTTGAACCAAGGTCAAAGTTCAATATTATGTCGTCTGCTCTAACAGTAGTGAAGGATTTATGTGTATGGTTCTTGTCTGCTTTCTTGTCATATAAATCTTGAGCAGTGAATTTAATATTATGTTCATCCTTCATGACATAAACATCTTTACATCTAATGTTTCTCATCGTCGTTATGTCGTCATCCGATGTTAAACCTTGTGGAAAGTTAGGAGGTTTACAATATAATGCATCCCCACCAGTTTCTTCAACCGTTCCTTCAATACTTTCTATAGCAACAGTTGTGAAGGATTTATGTGTATGGTTCTTGTCTGCTTTCTTATCTAACATTGCTGGTAGTTCATGTGCTTCAAAGTTTCTGGCATGACTTTCAATGTTCCTGCAACTGTTATCTAAACTGTTAAGAGTATCTTTTACGCTTGTACTTGGATTTTCTAATGGTGCACTTGAACCAAGGTCAAAGTTCAATATTATGTCGTCTGCTCTAACAGTAGTGAAGGATTTATGTGTATGGTTCTTGTCAGCTTTACTGTCTAAAGAAGTTTGAAGTTCATTTATATCGGAGATGTTGTGTTTATGAGATTTCAAAACTTTGTTCGTTGCGTCAAGTTCAACTTTGTCAGCTTTACTTTTAATAGCATCTTCAAACGTTATTTTTGCCTTAACTCTTAACATAAATCTTGGTTCAACTAATACACCATTAACAGAGAAAGTAGAGGCATAAATTTCATCGTTATAACTAAATGCTTCTGGTGCTTTACCTGTGTCATACTGTACAGTACAGCTTATGTCATAACCTTTAGCACGAATGTATTTATATCTTCTTTCATTAACATTTTTTGTCTTCGCTTCATCACTTCGTGTTAAATATCCATGGTAGTCCGTTATAATCTGTTCGTCTGAAGTTATATAATGAACGTGGTTTTTATCTGCTTTTTCGGCTAATTTCTCATTAACATCATTCACTTCTAATTCAACTCTTCCGCCAGAACTCTCATGAGATACTCTGTGTTTAACATTTCTTCCTCAATACTTTTTGGAATTCCTTCTACAATATAAGTCTTGCTATAAGCTGAAGGATATAATGAATACAGTGTCGAAGTCAGCCAATGAGTTTCTTTTTGCTCTTTTGTTTCATGTTATTCTGAACAACCTATACATCTTCCACCTTGATGCAATTGAAATAAATTCTCTTGGTTTTTTGAGAGGATCATAAAGATTTCCATTCGGAAGTATACTCCTGTTCTCAAACAATTGTTAGCAATAGAACAAATACTAACGTAGTCATAAACGGTTTAATCAAACTCTTTCAATAAGTCATTGCGGAACTTTACAAACCTTCTTCTTAAATCTTTACATCTTGTTTGCCAGGTAAAACGTGGCCTATATTTTTCTAAGTCGAAGTGGTTTTTTCATCTATTCTGCAACCTTTGATGGAATCTATGGTTCTTCATACATGTATCTGCACTCATGGATAAACTACCAGCTCAGAATGACACCAGTTTCTGTTGCATTTGCTAACAAAAACTGCTGTAGTAGTTATATTGAAATACTTCTTTTCGGTCCTGTTTTGTAAGTTAAAAACATAGCAGGCCACCCCCCAAATATGTTTAAGTTTCTTATTATAAACACTGTAACGAGTCTTTTATAATAATTGCCACGTCCTTTATATAACAGTTATTTTGCATTGTTCGTGAACTTTAAATGATTGGGAGTTCCTTTCACTTTCTGCTCATTGTGTCTTAAGATGAAGTTTATGTCATAACTGCAGGTTTGTGAAAATATAATTAACTCTTGTCAGGCGAGTCGTTCAAAAATTCTGTTGCACAGTTTCTGGACCCCATATGCTTTCACTTCACTGAACATCTTCACTGTCATAACAGATGTTAAAAGCTTTATGAAAGCGTCTGTGCTACACTAAAGTCAGCAAAGAAAACGTTGCTCAGGAATGAATTTACATTTAGCCTTTATTTTACTTCTTTTTGCACTCTGCTTTCCTTCTTCAGTTGTTACACAATACTTTGGAGCATATGTTCAAATCTTTAAATGGCTTGCAAGGTTTCTGTTTTATATAAGTCAGTAGTATATGTGAAAAGTTCTCCATAAGAAATAGGTTTCGAAATAATTTGCACTCCCACAATGTTTTCAATAACATCATATGGGGTTGTTCTATCATAACGACTACATATTTATTTCTCTCTTTTTGTATAAATCTTCATCTGTTTTCTCAATGTTCATTCGCACACACTCCCTATCAAGATTTCTATATAAAAGGTTTCGTAATTGAAGTATGTTGTCATTTGGTATCTTTCATTTAGATGTAAGTGGTTCTTCAAACAAGAAGCTAAGTCAATAGTTCTTAAACAGTTTTCGTCATTCTTTTGGTATATATCTCTTTATCTTCATTTATGTCTGCTAGTCTTTGAAATAACCAATGGTAACATTTAACATGCTATACCTGTTGAATCGGAAATTTCTTGTACTTTTACTTTAGGAAAGTCTCTAACACGAATGACTTTCTCATCATGGTGGTCATAGTTCTTCATTTATTCCAGCCTGAATGCAAGCATTAAACGAAACAATTTGGTCCTCTGTCATAAGTGTTGCAAGTTCTTTTTGTTCAGTCATTGAAGATTTGGTAGCGTTCATAGATTTATAGGTAATATGCAAAGATACCTTCCAGAACTGACTGCGCTTCTCTTCTTATAAAACTTCTTCTTCACCATTATCTTTCCCAAAACTTTTCTATAAGTGGTGGGTTTTCTTTATGATATTATATAGTAGCATCAGAATGCTTTTCTGGTCATTTTGGTCAGTGTTGCTTTCATCTCTATATGTCTCTTTTTTTGGTTTTGCGCTTTCTTTACATCTGACATCGTTACTCTTCATATTCTTGTTAAATCATACATTCTTTATTTCGGTAAGATTCTTATGTTTGTTCAAGAAGAAGTCATAGTGCATTTCAACAATACCTGGCGGCATTTGCTTCTATCTCTGATATAAAGTTCTTCCTTCAAGAGCTGAATGTAGTAATGTTCCACATATTATCTGAGGGTTTAACTGTAAGTAAACATTTCTACTTTCCCAACCAAGTTTATTAACATACCATCCATCTCTGTTGCGATTTTATTTTATTTTTCTCTAAGAGCTCATGAAAAACCTTACCGAAATGTTTGTGTAAGTAGGTCTCTGTTTTGGTTCATCTAAAGCTTCGATGTAAAGTCAATGAGCTCTTTTGCCTGACTTCACCATCTTCTCTCTTCCTACTTCTCTTCATCTTTCTTATAACCATCTTCTCACCTTTCTTTTGGTTTGTTCGCTCAATTGGAACGAATGACATCGTTTAAGCTTTTGCGAACTTGCTTTCTATAGCACTTTTAAACATTCTCTTCTCTGTTGTTTCAGTGATGTCATCCTCTCTTTCGTGTTTTTCACCAAACGTTTTGCATTTGTTATGCTAAACATCTCTCTTCTTACTTCATGGAGGTACTGACAGTCTATGATATAAGTCAATAGCAATGTCATTTAAAGGAATTGCTCTTTGCATGGACTTCGTCCTCCGCCGCGGTTGCGGCCTTTTATGAACTCCATGAATTCTATCATAACTTATTGCAGCCATTATAGTCTTTAATGAAGTCAGCGATGTGCTTTTTTTGTTTGTTGCTAATGCTTTGCAACATCTATATTAGCTTCTGTAAGGAAAGTTTGTTTTTTTTCGCGAGTGTTCTAACTTAGACCAACTTCCGATACATCATTTTAGTAGGAAATAAAAAATATTTTTTGAAAAAATTAGGATTAGATTTTTTTTAAGGTTTTTCTTTTTCAAAATAATTTAATATTTTTATTTTTAATGAAACAATCAGCAAGGATTGGAAGTTCTTTTCATACAATAGCCTCTCGCTACTGCCATCAAGAATGAGTTCAATAATTGCTTCAAACGTTAATGTTATCTTTTACAAAGAAGTTGTGAAAGAATCTAAGTTTGGTCAGTATGTCAGACCATTAGCTATCGTCATGGACCGGCAAACGTTATACTTCACCAAGACGTTAGCAGTAGTTTTGAAACAAAAGGTTTCTTCGTGAATGTCAAAAAAAACAGGATTACACACTATACTGTCATAAAGAAACTCCAACATTGACTTCTTCAGTATTGGCTATGAATCTTTCCGACAGAAAGAAATATAAAGAAGGGTGAAACACTGTGAAATATTATCCTTCATCTCCTGAAGACACATAACGAACAAAGATGTTATACAGGAAATTCTTCCAAAGGTTGTAAGAAGCTTTCAATTGACCATGACTTAAGGAAGTTGAAATGGTTGAAGCAATTTGACCGCTGAGCTATTTAACCAAAAATATATATTTTTTGGTTGAAGAGGTGAGATATCACCCTGTTTTTTTCACCTCATTTCTCTTCTTCGCTTAATGTTGTCGTGACTTTCTTCGTTAATGTTGTCGTGACTTCATTCTTCCCTCTTTGAAGTTATCGAAATTACTCTGTTTATTTTTTCTTTAAAAATGGGTTAAGTCTTCTTTTTGAATGTAAGTATTGTGCAACCTTTGGATGTCAGTAGTGGTGTTTGAGGAAGAGTATTTTTGGACCAAATTTCTTTTATTTGCTCATCGGGTCATTGAAATCTGGATAAGTTTTCAACGATAGAACCAGTTTCTGTCAGATTTTTTATATTTTAAGCTAAGTCATAAAAGCTGCTTGTTTTCTTCTCTGACTAAATGCAACATAACCATATCTCTGCTTCTTTCATTCTCCAATCTCTTCAGTTATTATATATATTACTTATAACTCTTTTTCCTTTCCTTTTGGTACTGACGTTTGGTATTCTTTTCTGTATGCTTTTGTCTTTTGGATTCAATGACTTCATCTTTTGCTTGAAGGTTTCTTTTCCATCTCTCCACGTTTTCTGCTTTATATTAGTTCATCTAACATCATGAAATATAACAAGCATAACGAGGGTGAAGCCACATTGCTACACATTACAAAAGTCAGAAACATATAACCTTCAAAACAGGAGCAAATTTTTACGATTTTCGAATGGAATCTCTTCCCTCGTGTTCGCGGAGGAAGCCAACATAGAGAAATTCTTCTAAAAGTTCTTTAGGCCTCGTTGGTTTTCCAAACCATGATATGCTTGCTTTGTAGAAAGAAAGAGCATTATTATACTTTGATTTTGGTAAACATGTCCGTCTTTGACTCAGAACGAACGAGCTCATGTGTTTGTATACTGTATGTATTGTATTCTTCATTTATGGCTTTCATGGACTATAACTTGTTGTTGTGTTCTCTGATTACATTTCTTACAACAGGATAAAAT